TCAGGACACACTAAGACTTGGAGCACACTCAACCTTATCCTAAATTCCTTAAAAGAGAACAGTATTATTGCCTGTCCCCCCCCTCTCCCCCCCCAAACCCATCCTATCAATTGTTTACTGGGAATGTATGGGTGCGTTATTGTATGTTAGTCTGTGTTTGATCCCTTATAAAGGTCTCAACCTGGTAGTGTCTAATACAGACTAATTGCAATGTATAATGCAGTTGCGTACATACCACGGGTACCAGTTGCCACGTTTTGCGGCCCCAGCCCGCGCACAAACTGCCAGGGCCGCATGTTAAGGGGTCCATCGGGTGGCCCATGCTGTCAGGGCCACCCGATGGATATGGATTGTCAGGGGGCCCGGTCTGTGCTGGACGCTTTAACAGCGCGACTGGGCCCCCTGTGATGAGCTCATCACTGCTGGGAGGAATTGACTCCCCGGTCACTCCTCCCAGCATACAGAACCCACGCGGGAGGAAGCAGGAAGGAGGAGGGAGTCAGAGTGGGAACTCTGACTCCCATCAGGCTGAGCCCCCACTGGACCCCAGGGAAAGTCACAAAAGGTAGGAAACCGGAAACATTTTGTGTATGTGTGTGTGTCTCTGTATGTGTGTATGTGTGTGTGTGTGTCTGTATGTATCTGTGTGTGTCTTTATGTGTGTGTGTCTGTGTCTCTGTATGTGTGTGTCTGTCTGTATGTATCTGTGTGTGTCTGTGTCTCTGTATGTGTGTGTCTGTCTGTATGTATGTGTGTCTCTGTATGTGTGTGTGCCTGTATGTATCTGTGTGTCTCTGTATGTGTGTGTCTCTGTATGTGTGTGTGTATGTATGTGTGTGTCTATGTATGTGTGTATGTATGTGTCTGTTGGGGGTGTGTGTCTGTCTGTGTGTATGTGTTTGTGTCTATGTATGTGTCGGGGGGGGCCCACGGATCAGGGGAGATGGGAGGGAAGGGGAGAGGGGAAAGAGGGGGGCCACAGAGCAGTTTTGCCCCGGGGCCCCATGGATTGTGTGTACGCCACTGGTATAATGCTTTTCAAAGTATGCTTGGTACTGCGCTGCTCTGCAGGAAAGTTTAACCTGTAAAAGTGTGTATGGTAACAGAGGCTGCTCTCTAATTAGGCGATTTAGGTGGTCGCCTAAGGCCTCTTGCTGGCTGGGGCCTCGCGGCCACCTAAGCCATCTTAGGGCAGACTGTGTCGGGTCCTTGGTCACCAGGAGGGGGCCCGGCGGCTTGCTCAGTATGCTGCTGGGTGCGAGGCCCTTCCTGTCTGCCCGGCCAGCAATCGCAGACACCCGTCTGCAGCTCCACAGTGTGCAGAGGTGCAGTCCATGTGTCTCGCGAGAACTGGACAATCAGAGCACTGCTGTGGGTTACCACGGCAACGCTCTGACAGGTCTCGTGAGATTCATAGTCTGCAGCTCTGCAGAGCTGCAGACCAGATGTAGTGGCCACCGGACCACAAGGGAGCCTACTGGATATCCAGAGAATAAATAAAGGTATTTAGTACCCCCCTCTCCCTCACAACATCACCCCCGTCTCCCTCACACTATCACCCCAACTCTCCCTCACACCATTTTAATAAAATTTATAAAATATTTTACCAGGAAAGATACATTGAGATTTCTCTCGTTTTCAAGTATGTCCTCACCCCCTCTCTCCCTCACACCATCACCCCCCGTCTCCCTCACACCATCACCCCACCCCACCATCTGCCCCCCTCCCTCTCGCCATTAATCCTGTCACATTCATCCCTCCTACCATGCCACAATTGCCCTGACACACTTACCTCCACACGTCACTCGCTCTGTCACACTCCCTCATCAAACCATGTCATACTCCCTGTTCCTCATTCTCTCTCACAAACCCCCCCGTCCCCTGTCCATTTACCCCCTTTGCCCTGTCACACTCTCCCTGCCACTGGTACCCCTTTACTCACCTTGTCACAGTCACCAGCTGAAGACATTCATCATACACACACAGTCAGGAAACAGAGCGTTGCCATAAACACAATGCACAAAGGCTACAGGCAGACCCCATACACACAACACACTTCAAGTAGCTACCCCATACACATATGCTCCCAGACAAAAATGCAAACCTGCTCACAGAGACATACATTCACACACATACTCTCTGTCAGACACACTCTCAGGCACATACACAGGCAAACTGTGCATCAATGTGTATATGTGACAGTGTGCATGTATTGTATTTTTTTTACTTTGGTGTTAGTGAAGCCTCATGTTTGAGTTTCGCCTAGGGCCTCATGAAGTCTAGAGCCGCCTCTGTATGGCAATAAATAATTATTTGTTTCAGTTGAAAAAATAAGACATCCTGAAATTTGGCTACCCATTTTGCGACCAATAAGTTGGACACTTTGTCTCAAATGGTTTTTTATAGTATTTGGGGAATGCAAATGAGTTGTCAGATGAACACATGATAACATAGCCAATACAACAGCAATGTGTTTTACTTTTTTTATGACATAACATAAAGTTAAAATATATATTTCTTCTAGTAAACTATTTTTCCAAAATTGCGCAGCAAATTGTAATCCTGGTAGTTTATCTCAGTGAAGTAACTACAGGAAACGTTTTCTATGTTAATAGTGACCTACTTTATAAGTCTAATAAATACTTTCAGATGTATTAACCTCCCTAGTTAAACAAGGAAGAATTATTGTCTCCATGTCCTGATTATTATCAACAGTGCAGCCAGTAACATTGTATAAATATTTACATAGGGCTAAAATTAGATTATAGACCTATAAAACCAAATAATCACGTCATATAAATAATGTCAAATACAATGCCGGATCTGCTCAATCAGTATTAAATGCTTTATTTTGCACAGATTTAAGCAGTATTCTTTATTGCGCATGCCACAATTTAATGAGTCACCCATCTGTCATAATCAGTTTCAGACAATAAAATAGTTAGTGTGATTATGTCAGTATGTTTGTATTTAGATTCCGTTACACGGGAGCTTGGCACCTTGGAGATAACACAAACCTTATAGAAACATATTCACTAGACACTGAACTGTGAATTGGATAACAAGTCACACAATTTAGGGAAAATTAACCAAGCTGTCACAAATCTGGATTGTAGAATTTAGATTTGCTTACTTTTTGCATATACTTTCATAATTGATTACAATTTGTTGTAAGCTCTGAACATTCTGGATTTGACTGTAACTGGATAACCAGGTTCATGTTTAAATCATGGGTTTACCAAATGCTAAAAAAAAATTATGAAAAAAGATTACAACTTTTATTTTTAGTTTCAACAATTTTTTTTATTGTCATGAATCAATCTGACAAATTTAGTATATCATAGACAAAAGTTATTTTGTAAAGTATACGTTAAATTGACGTACTTGGCATTTTGCATGATATTTTTGTTGAAGACGTGTAAAAATAAAATAAAATAATACAACAAATGAAGCAATAAACTAAAATACCATAAACTAATCTAAACACGCTCTCCTCCCTCCAAATGCTCAAAGTGTTCAAGCTCGGGGTTAGTTTAATATCAGGGATAACTAGTTTGAGGTGTCTTGTTTTGGGAAGTTGACATTATTGGCATGGGCGTCCGCAGGGGGGGCAAGAGGGGGCACTTGCCCCCCCCTGGATTTTTCAGCTTGTTCTGCTATTTTGTGTGATTTAAAATGAACTGCAATACCGGCGCCAGCCAGTAGGTGGCGCTGTGTATGGAGAGAGAAAGGGATAGGAAGCTGCATCTTATCCCTGCTTCTCTCTGCTGATTGAAACCGCAGGGGAACAACACATGCAGCCAGAGGCAGCCTACAGATCAGGTAAGTGGGGGCTGGGGGGAGGGTTTGAGAGGGGGCAGCACTCTATAGATTGGGGGGGGGGCAGCAGCAGATAGATTTGGGGGCAGCAGCCCATAGATTTAGGGGGGGGGAGGCAGCCTTTAGATTTGGGGGCAGCAGCCCATAGATTTGGGGGGGGGCAGTAGCCCATAGATTTGGGGGCAGCAGCCCATAGATTTGGGGGGGATCACCATGGCAACGCTCTGCGCGACACGCTGGGCGCGAGAGTTACACTGGGGAGCTGGAGTAGCAGCTGGGAGGTGAGTAAGCGCTTGCTCTCCGCTCCCCCCCCCAAAGCTCAGCCAATGCTACTGGACCACCAGGGACTGTCATATCCCCCCTCCCTGGCCAGGCAACAAGCAGGGAGGGGGGACAACAAAAATAATTAAATATTAAAAAAAAAAGTTAATAAAAAATGCCCCCTCACATACACACTCCATTATATACAGATACACTACACAAACACACTGTGTATATAATGCAGTGTGTGTGTGTGTGTGTGTTTGTATAGTGTGTGTGTGTGTTTGTATACAATGCACACAAATACACTGCATTATATACACACACTATACAAACACACAAACTGCATTATATACACACTATACAAACACACTGCATTATATATACACACTATACAAACACACTGCATTATATACACACACTATACGAACACACACACTGCATTATATACACACACTATACAAACACACTGCATTATATACACACACGATACAAACACACACACTGCATTATATACACACTATACAAACACACACAAACTGCATTATATACACACACTATACAAACACACTGCATTATATACACACACACTATACAAACACACACTGCATTATATACACACACTATACAAACACACTGCATTATATACACACACTATACAAACACACACACTGCATTATATACACACACTATACAAACACACTGTATTATATACACAGTGTGATTGTATAGTGTGTGTATATAATGCAGTGTGTGTTTGTGTAGTGTGTTTATATAATGCAGTGTGTGTTTGTGTAGTGTGTATATAATGCAGTGTGTGTGTTTGTGTAGTGTGTTTCTATAATGCAGTGTGTGTGTAGTGTGTGTATATAATGCAGTGTGTTTGCATGTAGTGTGTGTGTATAATGCAGTGTGTTTGCATAGTGTGTATATAATGCAGTGTGTTTGTGTAGTGTGTTTATATAATGCACACTACACAAACACACTGCATTATATACACACACTATACAAACACACACACTCTGCATTATATAAACACACTACATTCACTTTACACACACTACACAAATACACACACACTCTGCATTCATTATATACACACACACTTTGCATTTAGTATATACAGCATTCACTTTACGCACACTACCCACACACTACACAAACACTCTGCTTTCATTATATACACACTACACTAATACACACTGCATCCACTACACACACTAGACGAATACACACTGCATCCACTACACAAACACACATTGCATCCTCTACACACACTACACAAACACACACTGCATCCACAACACACTACACAAACACACACTGCATCCACTACACAAACACACACAGCTCCCCTGTCACACTGCATCCACTACACGTGACGTGGCATGTATATTTTGTGCATTTACCTTTAGAAATAGTTTTTATTTTCCAAAATGGTAAATGTACAGAATATCGGCAAATTATATCGGCTATCGGCCTGAAAGTTCACAGAATATCGGTATCGGTATCGGCTCTAAAAAATCAATATCGGTCGATCCCAAGTAGAAAAGGGAGCAGAAAGGGTCTGCAAGGAGCAGAAAGGGATCAGAATGAGAAAGGAGCAGAAGGGCGCAAAATAAGCAGAAAGTAGCAGAAAGGTAAAAGAGCAGAAGGGGCCAAGGATAGAAAACAGTGTCAGAAGAAAAAAAAGACTGTCAAATGAAGGAGAGGAAAAGGAGATTGGAGCAGGAAGGACAAATGAAGTGAACCCTCCACTTTATTCTGGACACAACATCATAAGGCTTTGGTACCTGGGTCTGGCAGGGAAACACTGGACCTTCTCATCTCCAAAGGTAAAAAAATATCGGTGTTAATGTGTTCACTTTTATTTACTGAGTGTCAGGAAGCACAGAGTGCCGTTGGGTAGGGGTGTTGCTGATTGGCTAGAGCGGTCAGCTGGCACTCTAAGCCAATCAGTAGCTCCCCATTCATAAAAAAGTAAAAATATTTTATGAACCGGGAACTAGCGATTGGCTTAGAGCGTCAACTGACCACTCTAGCCAATCAGCGGCACCCATGCCTGACGTCAATCTGCACTTCCTGACACTCTGTTTCAGAAGCCAAATACCACTGAGCGACCTGGAGCTGGAGGAAGCCTTTGGGGTTAAACCATTTGAGAGCGATTTAACCCCTTAAAGGAAAGCGAGCACCCAGGGGCTTCCTGGCATCATAGCATTTTCATTTAGGTGAAGTTGTTATGGTGACCAGAAATGTCATTTAATTTGCTTAAAGGAACACTATAGTGTCAGGAATACAAACATATATTCCTGACACCATAGTTGTGAAAACGCTATTCACCCTGGCTTTATGTGATAATGGCTATGCCCCTTCCCTTTCATGACACTGTCAAAAAGGTACCAAGCATGGATGTCATTACAATTATGCCCCCCCCTGGAAAAATTCCTGCGGACGCCCATGATTATTGGGCTATAGGGGGTTGGTCTGCTATAACTCTGGTCAAGTACCAGTCTGTAAATTCGAAACTGGATTTAAATTTGGCTTAGGTAGTTCTTTCTAATGCAGGGGTGCACAAAAGGTAGATCCCCAGATGTTTTAAAACTACAGCTTCCATCATACTTTGCCATTCTAAAGGCATGCAAAACATCATGGGATTTGTAGTTCTACAACATCTGGGGATCTACCTTTTGGGCACCCCTGCTCTAACGTGTTGAAATATGGTTACTGGATAAGAAAGAATTTCTTTGTTAAGGTACTTTTATTTATTGAGGTTTCTACCCAGTCCAGATGAAATAGGAAAGAGATTGTTTGTGTGAAGTAGTCATAGTGGGGAGAAATCTATCCAATGATGCAATATACTTTTAATAACCTGGTTTGAGTGTTCCATCATTACCCCCAATACAGCCAATAATGGGGAGATATGAAAGGCTTTACCTTATAGTTGTGCAATATCATTTCTAACTGTTTCCAAAATGCCTCGATTTCTGCACATTCACAGAGGCAATGGTGGAGGTCAGCTCCGTCTGTTCCACATTTTAGATAACTAACTGACTCTTTGAGCTTTAGGGAGAATTGTTTTTGAGAAGAGTAATATGCACCCCCTCATTCCCCCTCCCATGGTGGTCTCTCCCCCACCCCCTTCCTCAGTGGTCTCCTCCCCCACCCCCATTCCCCTCACCCCCTCCTACCCTGTGTAGCGTGGCCGAACTCCGGTCCAGTCCGAGGTACAGGAGCTTTTGTTTCCTGTATCCAGTCGGACTGACAGGAAGTGCTCACTGAGGGACTGGCAGGAGGGAGTGCTGTGCGCTTCCCTCCTGCTGATCCCTCATATCTTGTGCCCACATGGACCCGCTGGCCCGGGCAGTGCTGCAGCCGCCTGAGGCTCTCTAAAGAGCAATCAGGCAGCTGCAGCATGGGGGCATTTGATGATCTCTGCCAAAGTGAAGAACATTCAAAATCAACAAGATGACATCATATCCCAAGGTCAAGGTAGTTGGACTGAAACATTAGTTATATGCAAATAAGTCTCCTTAAAATAAATGTGCTCTTTTGTTTACTTTGAAGCCCTACGAACGTGAGGACATCCAGTGTCAGTTAAGCAACTTTTTTTATACTGTACTTTTTGAAATAAACCTAGGTTTCTACAAAAACTGAAGTTTTCGGGGGGTTTTGTGGCCCACATAGACTTAAACCTTCTTTATTTGGCCCGTGTTAGCCATTGAGTTTGACATGTTTACTGTAAGGGGATATGGGAACTCTGGTAATTTTTCCTTTTATAATTTTATGCTTATCTGTTGTAATCATATCCAGCCCTGGTGCCTTTCCTGCCTTTCTAATTTGTATTGCCCATGCTACCTTCTCTTCCCTAATAGAATAATCTCTCTTTGGTTTGGTTTGTCTAGGTGGGTTTACTCCCTTTATTAGATTCATTGCTCTCATAGCGTCATTTGGCTGAGAAGCAAAGATGTTCTAAAAATGGGCATGAAAGGCTTTGTTTATCCCCACTGGGTCTGTGGTGTAGGTCCCATCATTTTTAACAAATTTTTTCTGCTGGTGACTTGGTTTGGGTTGTGCTAGAGGCATAATTAACTTGTCCATTCACCCACCCCAGCGAAAAGAAATATTTGAGAATTGTAATATTTTTAGCCTTTTTAAATAAGAATGAATCTAAATGTTGTTTTGACTCCAAGTTTTTTTTTGTTTTTTTGTTTATTACATCAGTCTGTGCAGCTTTGTTTGTTAGATGAGCCTTTGCCAAATCCATATTAAGTTTGTTATATTTCCAATTCCATTGTTTTTCATAATTAGAAACATATGCTATGATTTAGCCTCTCATCATTGTCTTAAAAGTCTGCCAGAAAAGCATTGTGTTGTCTATATGGTCCAAGTTGTCATCTGTGAAATTGCCCAGGCTCCCACCAGTATGTTCTTGAATGAGTCTTGTGTTAAATAATTTAGGAATCGCCAGGAGGGTGGACCTAATTCTATGCTCAAATCAATTGGAGCATGGTCCGAGATTAGAATGTTGTGTACGACAGCTTCTGTTACATTATGTACCAGCTCAGGGGAGATTAAGAAGAAATCGATACTGGATCAGGTGTTATGAGACCTAGATGTGTGTGTGTAATTCCTGACCTCAATGTTTTTTGTATCCTCTATACATTTCTAAGGTAGAGGCGAGTTGGACGACGGAGCAGTGCCAGACTTATCCACTCATCCATCCAACACTGCATTGAAGTCCGCTCCTATAATTAGTTTGGAATCTGCAAAATGAATCACTAAGTTTAGCAATTTCAAAAAGAAGGAAACATTAGAGTTATTTGATGACTATATGTTGACCAGAGTATAGCAAACATTAGCTAGGGAGGCATCTAGCATGAGAAACCTTCCTTCTGGGTCTACAACGTGTTTATGAACGATTGGAGTAATTGATTTGTTTGTCCCAAGAGCCACCAGTCCCTGTCATTGGGAGAGTTTTAGGGTTTAGACATCGGATTACTCAGGTGAAATTGAGGATATTGACCAATTTCTTAACAGCCTTAGAGGAGACAAACAGGTAAGATTGGTTACTGTAGGCAATTTGAGTTTAGCTGGGAATTGAAGTTGGAAATTAATTTTCTCTTCAACAAGGGTTTTGCATAGTGGAGAGAATTTGCATCTTTTAGTTATCATTGCATTGAATAGCCGTGGAAGATGTGAATGTTACGGTCTTGGTAATTTATTTTGTTTGCCTTTCTGTATGCTTGTAGCATAGCTTCTTTGTTGCAGAAATGTAGGAGGCAAATTATTACTGGTCTAGGACTAGTTGTTGTCTGAATCAAAGTTATTTTAGGACCTAAACAATTTTATATTAGATGTGGTTTATGTGAGACATGAAGTACTTCTGGTATCCAATTTTGAAGTACTGGAAGTAGGGCGTGCTGTTTAATGGGTTCGGGAAACTCTATAAAACATATATTATTTCTTCTACTCCTATTTTCAAAACCTTCCACCTTTGTTTGAAGTTGTGTAATTAGTTTTGTTGAAGTTATGCCTGTAGTTTAGATGAGGTGTCTTCTAGGTCACTATATCTATTTTCAAGTCTGTCCAGTCTAGAAGAGCTAGGAGCCACTTTGTTGACAAAATCACCAATTGTATGATGTATTGAGTCAAATTTTGCTTCTAATTTAGGTCAAAGCAAGCCAGTGATGTCGACCACTAGTGAGGCTGCATTGTTATTTGGGAGTTCTGGTATGAGCAAGCCATCTGATGTGGCAGGGCTTGGCAGTGCTGATGAGGTGTCCTCTGCACGTGTCTGGTGTGTTTTTTTTAGTCTGTGGAGACGAGGGGTGCTTGATGTAGTGCTCATGGGGCTTTGGGCTGGTGATATGGAGCCTTTTTGGAATGCCTAGGTGAGAAGCTCCTGTTCATGGGTCTGCTTCCATTGGCATCTCCCCCAGAAGTCAAAAAAGGGAAATATCCTCTAGATTAATCCCGAATCTCAAGGTAAAGAACAAACATTCTGTAGTAGTATAACTGTGTAGATAGTCTAAAATTTAAAAATTTCCATGGTCAATTCCTGACAATTCTTGGTTCAGGAGAATAATTCTACAAATGTCAGCACATGGTAAAACCCTCCTTTTTTCTGAGAACCTTGACCAGGATTCTTTCAGAATACGTCAACTTGTCTTTGTGTCATCATACTGGCAAGACTTGATTTGCCAATAGCTACAGTATATTTTATTTATTCATGCAGTTACAAATTTATATATGCACATTGAGATGAAACCGTATAGCCTGCATTGTACAGTTGCTTGATCACACACAAATGGGCTAGTCAATGATGAGTTACTTATTAACAAGTAAGTATATACTAATCCACTTATTGGGATTACGCATGACCTTTGTGAAGTCAAAGAAGCATAACATTGTAGCCCCTTTATAGCTTCTATGGGCATTATATGGCTGGTCTTAATTACGTAAACATTATTTACTTAGGAGATATAACATTTCTAAACATTTTTAAATAGAACTTTTTTCTAACTTGACAATTTTCACCTACATATTGCTACTAAACTTGTTATTTACCAAATAGACCCCTATTTACACAATAAGGTCCCATTGAAAGTTGCCTCTAAATGCAGAGCCATTAAAA